AATTAATTGCATTGATGTGCTCTTTCGTGTGACGAGACAAAAGGAGCAGGAACCTGGATTTGCATAGATATAAGCGACATCTAAGGCCTCTTGTCCATAGAGCACTTAAAAGAACCTCCTATGCAGTTCGGAGTAATTTAGACCTGAGGAAACTGAGGCCCAAGAGGCCCAAGTGACCTGTCAATTATTGCATAGAAACTCACAGAAAAGCTATGGAATAAATGCTGGGCTTTGTTCCCCCTCTCCAACTCAAACCCTGCAGTCTCTCCTGCTTTACAGCAGCAGCACAGAACCCATTCGCCCGTTTAAAACATTCCAGCATTTACAATGCATGGCATTTGTAGTATCCTGATTTTAGATTTATAAAATGTACAACCACTGAGATTTCAAAAAGCAGAATTTGTCATGGTGGGGAGGCAAAAGGGAAAAAGGGGAGGAAAGAAACTAATTTCTGGAAAAAAGTCACTCTAGCTGCTCTGTCAATAGCTTTGTGGTTCTGTATCAGCAAGAAATTAGCGAAAATGAAACAGATGAACTTTCAAACCACAGTCGACATTCTGGGAAGCAGTATCATCTGAAACCAGCCTGTATTTTGAACAGTTTCATGTTTCTGTAGAACCTTGTAAGGTTAGAAATTACTAACAGCAAACAAGTAAAACAGACTTTGTCATTTAAAGCACACAAGGGAGAGAATACCCAGGATTTCCAGCTACACAAAACCAGGCATTTAGACTGGGTTAGAAGCATATCCCTGAGGAACACGAATACATCGTTTCTGTAAGGCGAAGACTTACTCAGCTATCCATGAAGCTTATTGTTCTGGCCAATACATCACTGTGGTTCCTACACCATATGCCCAGGCTGATACATTTGCATTTGCTATTTACCCCTTAACACTAAATAAATAGCGTTACATGGATGTATATCCAGGGTAAAGGGCGTCAAGCAATTCAGTCTTTTCTCATTGGAGACACGTCCAAAGTCCAAAAAACTGCATGCTGAACCTTCTTGGTTTCCCATGTCAAGCACACAGAAAAGATATTCTTCAAAATACTACAAGATAGCATCTTTTAGTCAAATACCCAAATGTTGTACCCTCCACTAGCCATTTCACGGAGCCTGTTCTTTTGCATCTATTCTTCATATAATCCGGAGCCTGAAATTGGCTCTTTTCATGCCATTATAACAGTTAAAGAAGAAAACCAGTCAACTTCCAACCTACAATGTTCATTACTCAGAAACCAGGTCAACAATTCAGGCCCCTCACTGGCAACCACTAAATGGACATTATTATTTCTTCACATATCAGCAAAAGATTTTGCTCTCTGAATCAGTCATGGGATTTATCACAACTGGAACTGCAAACAGCAAGTTTTTCGTCTTTTCTCAGGAGCACCAGAAGACCTCAGAGCACAAGAAGCTACACCTTGAAGGCTTTTACAACTACAACCCATCAACTATGTGACTTTGGTTTCCCAAGCCACAGTTTCTAGTGCTGTTAATAGAAAGTGTCACCCAGGGCTGATACACACAAGATAATGTGCCCTCTCCCTGACTAATGAGGGAACAACAAAAGTGGTCTAGATCACACTGCACTTGGTAAAAGCCAAGAATAAAAAATGCCTTCCTGCTCAGTTCCTATTGCTGCCATGTCTCTTGAGTCTAACCATTGTTTTTTTAATTTTATGAGAAGCATGATTACTCAAATCCTTTAAAAAAGCAACCATCAACTCTTGAAAATCAATT